AAGCTTTGCAGACAACAAGGTGGGAGGTTTGGGTTTTGTTCCCAGTGCTGTCTTCCTGAGAACTTGGAGCACTGAGTGGAGAATGGGTTGCAGAAGCCCCAAAGTGCACTGTCCTCCGATGGTGAACAGGCTGTACTGTCCTCCCATGGTGAACAGGACTAAAGTGCTGGCACCCAAGACGCAGGGGTGAGGGTGGGTTTCAGGGCATATAGTTTAAGAAAGCAGGATTTGCTAATGAGTGGGAGGTGGTGTGAGGGAGAATATGGGGAAAATAAGGACGATGCCAAGGGGTTCCACTAGAGCAGCAGTTCCCAACCTGTGGTCACGACCCCTTTGGGGGTCGAACACCCCTTTCACAGGGGTCACCTAAGACCATCGGAAAACTCATATATAATTACATATTTTTGTGATTAATCACTATGCTTTAATTATGTTCAGTTTGTAACAGTGAAATTGGGGGTCACCACAACATGAGGAACTGTATTAAAGGGTCGTGGCATTAGGAAGGTTGAGAACCACTGCACTAGAGGCAGTAAGGGGTGTGGTTGAGAGCCCCAGTTGCCTCATCTATAAAATGGCAGAATGAAGGAGCCGCCCCACTGGGTTGGTGGGGAGTTGATATTTGTATAGCACTTAGAACAGAGCTTGGCTCACGGTAAAACGCTCTGTAAGCATTAGTGGTGATGTGGATGATGGCGATTTGTCCAAGGTCGCACAGCTGGTCAGCAGCAGGTCCAGGACGAGAAGCCAGGGCTTCATTCCTTGGTTCACTGCATTTTATGCTACACTGAGCTGCCTCCTTCAATTACCTTTGAACTTCTTTATTTTTGCAGACTCTGGTTGAGGGTTTGGTTGTTGTGCTACATGAAAAGTCACACATCATAACATATGAATGTCGCAACAAACACGATAAATTACTCGAGTGTTCTGTGCAGCCGGGATTCCAGATTGTTTTGGCTCTCCATAAAACCGTGCTATCCCAGACAAAACACAGAGCCCAGAGAGTGGGAGAAAGGGGTACAGGAAGAGAGATTTTTAAATAGTAAAAGAAATGTCTTCTAGAATATAGATGTGCTCACATTGTGCACATGCGTACGTGGGAGCAGGCGCAGGCACTGCAACAGGAGTCCTTCACATCGGAAGTTAGAGGTCAGTGCATGTCAGGGGAGGGGAAGAAATAAAGCACAGAATGGTAGTGGGACTCCCCCAGATTGTCAAGTTCCTAGGGATACATCTTAAAGAAGTGTTTGAAGTGTTTCTATCTGTCAGTTTCAACTAAGCTAATTTTTAAAAATTGCTCTTTGTACTGTGCCTTTCTCATGAACCTCTGTGAATTTAATGCATGCAATATGTGGGGGGAAATCCTATCAGCCTCAGTTCCCATCCCCCCCCCCAAAAAAAAGTCTGAGAAGCAGATTTTATTCAGAAGCACATTGTTGCACCTGCAAGGATTTTGCCATTTTACAAAATAGACCCGAGACCATGTTCAGTGTGTCTTGAAGGGATTTCAGAAACAGGTGAGAGAAAATGCCAGCTCGGCCCTTCCTCCCTGCTGTTGACTGTTTTGTTGCACTTCTGTCTCAGGCAGTGTGGGGAGGACTGTTCTTCATTACCAGGGAATGTGAGTCATTCCCAGACTTGTGTGATTGGGATTCCAAAGCGTTGCTGTATCCGATGGTCTTATTAAACCCAAGTGTCAGTGCAGCCTTTCAGACTGTAGGGGAGAGCTCAGTTACAGCTGGTGACCTGGTTCTAGTTACCACACAGAGACACTGGCGAGAGCCGTGACCCCCTCCGAGCACCCAGAATTCCTCGTGGAGGGCTGTTACCAACTGTTCCCAGACTTGGGGCTTTCCTGGTTCACTTCATGGGCTTCAATACATTTAAACTCGCTGTTTACATCTTAGTTGGAATCTGTATACTTTAAGGGGAAATGTCCTAGTGTCTGTAGACAAACCAGTGCCAAGATGAGCCGAGCATTTGGAGGGTACCTCGATTCAAATTACTCAGCCCTCGCGATGTTAATCTTGCTGTGTCCAGGACCTAGCAAGACACTATCCATTTCTAACTTGGCCCAAAGAAAACAAATAAAACATCAACCAGAGAGGGAGGAGACCAGAGATGTTGCCAAAAAATTAGTTTGCTCTGTCTTTTCTTTCTCCTAGAATGTTTCACAACCAACGGTGCAGATTACAGGGGGACGCAGAACTGGACGGCACTCCAAGGCGGGAAGCCATGTCTGTTCTGGAACGAGACTTTCCAGCATCCATACAACACTCTGAATTACCCCAATGGGGAGGGGGGCCTGGGCGAGCATAACTATTGCAGGTAAGATGAAGCCACACAGTACTTAAAAAACATAATACTCATCTCGTCTCCTCTTCCAACCTTGCTCGCAACTAGGGAAAGCGTCTTTGTCTCCTTTTGGCCAACTCAGAAGGCCTTTCTTGTTACTATTTTTTAAATCTTTCTCTCAGACCTTTTTCTACCATTCTTTTCCACTTGGGCTGCTTTGACACTGGTTTCCAGAGCTCTGCTTTTTTGTCTGGTCACTTATATGTCTCTTTGGGAGGGTTTTCTTAGTTGGTCCTTCCACCAGTGGGCACACAGACAGCAAAGCTTCTTAAGCTGCCATGAATGTAGTGGTCAAGCAACTGTGGCCCAGACCTCCCTGTGGTTCGGAGCAAAAAAAAAACAAAAACAAAAACAAAAAGACTGCCCTGCATTATCCCCTTTTTGCCAGACCAGGATAACCTTTCTAGGGGCAGTGGCAGCCATCAAATGTGTGCTGTTTCCTTCCTTTCACTAGACGGGTGTTTCTTTGCTCTTCACCTATCTGACTCTAGCTCTTAATCTGATATCCATGGTGCTCCAAATGTGTACTTGCAATTTTCTGGGGAGGTGATCCATGACTCTGATCAGATTCTCAGTTGTTAGTGATCCAAAACAAGTGAAGAATTACTGGTCTGTGGGGATCAGAGCAAAATTCTAAGCACTTTTGGTTATAGCTTTGTTTTAGCTGTTTATACCCAAGATTCTGGTAATGTGACTCACG